GTACCAGAAGGGGGGAAAGGAACAGCCACCAGTGGAAAACTTATTTGAACAAATAATAAAGGAGAATTTCCCCAAGATGGCAAAGGAAATAGACTTCCAAGAAATCCAGGAAGCTCAGAGAGTCCCAAAGAAGTTGGACTCAAGAAGAAACACACCAAGGCACATCATAATTACATTAGCCGAGATTAAAATGAAAGAGAGAATCCTAGAGGCAGCAAGAGCTAAGGGGACAGTCACCTACAAAGGAGTTCCCATCAGACTGTCAGCGGATTTCTCAAAAGAGACCTTACAGGCAAGAAGGGGCTGGAAAGAAGTATTCCAAGTCATGAAATCCAAAGATCTATAACCAAGATTGCTCTACCCAGCAAAACTTTCATTTAGAATGGAAGGACAGATAAAATGCTTCTCAGATAAGATCAAATTCAAGGAGTTCATCATCACCAAGCCCTTATTATATGAAATGTTAAAGGGACTTACCTAAGAAAAAGAAGATAAAAAAGATGAACAGTGAAAGGACAGCAAACTCACAGTTATTAAGAACCACACCTAAAACAAAAGCGAACTAAGAGGACAGCTAGATCAGGAGCAGAACCATAGAAATGAAGATCTCATGGAGGGTTAGCAACAGGGGAGTGGGAGGAGGAGAAGGGGGGGAGAAGGTACAGAAAATAAGTAGCATAGACAGTAGATAGAAAATAGATAGGGGGGAGGGTAAGAATAGTAGGGGAAATACAGAATCTAAAGAATTTGAGACACGTGTTCATGAACTAAAGGGGGGGGGGGGGGGGGGGGGAAATGGTGGGGGAGGTGTATGCAGGGTGGAGGGGAATGGAGGGGGGAATAGAGCACATGTAATGGCATAATCAATTTAAAAAAGTTTAAAAAAAAGATACAACACCCATTTTTGATGAAAACATTCAGCAAAGTGGGAATAGAGGGAGCATTCCTCAATATAATAAAGGTCTTATATGAGAGGCCTACAGCCAACATCATACTATATGGGCAAAAATTAAAATCTTCTCCACTAAGATCAGGAACAAGACAAGGATGTCCACTTTCACCACTTCTATTCAGTATAGTACTGGAAGTTTTAGCCATGGTGATTAGACAAGAAAAGAAAATAAAAGGCATCCAAATTGGAAAGAAGGAGACTAAACTGTCAAGTTTGCAGATGACATGATAGTGTACATGGAAATTCCTATAGACTCTACTCAAAAACTGCTCGAACTAATAAATCAATTTGGTAAAACAGAGGGTTACAAAGTCAGTATCCAGAAATCTAAGGCATTTTCGTATACTAACAATAAATCAGCAGAAGCAGAAATCAAGAAAAAAAATCCCATTAGATATAGTGAAAAAAATAATAAAATATCTGGGAATAAACCTAACCAAGGAAGTAAAAGACCTGTATGCAGAAAACTACACAGCACTGAAGAAAGAAATCAAGGAAGACACAAACAAATGGAAACATATACCCTGTTCATGGATTGGAAGAATTAACATCAAAATGTTCATACTACCCGAAGCAATTTACAGATTCAATGCAATCCCTATTAAAGTACCAATGGCATATTTCACAGACATAGAACAAACAATTCAAAAATTTATATGGAACCATAAATGACCCCGAATAGCTGCTGCAATTTTGAAAAAGAAGAACAAAGTAGGAGGAATCACAATACCTGATATCAAATTGTATCACAAGGCCACTGTAATCAAAACAGCCTGGTACTGGCATAAAAACAGGCACATAGACCAATGGAACAGAACAGAAAGCTCAGAAATAAACCCAACTCTCTACAGTCAATTAATATTTGACAAAGGGGAGAGTAACATAAAATGGACTACAAATAGCCCCTTCAACAAATGGTGTGGAGAACTGGACAACTATGTGCAAAAAAATGAAACTCGAGCACCAACTTACACCATACACCAAAATAAGTTCAAGGTGGATAAAAGACCTAAATATAAGCTGTGAAACCATTAAAGTCCTAGAGTAGAACATTGGCGAGAAAATCTCAGATATTTCATGCAGCAACTTTTTTACTGATATGTCCCCTAGAGCAAGAGACATAAAGGAAAAAATAAAGAAATGGGATCTCATCAAAATAAAAAGCTTCTGCATGGCTAAAGAAAGTAATATTAAAATAAAAAGAGAACCAACTGTATGGGAAAACATAATTGCCAATGATACCTCAGACAAGGGTTTAATCTCCAAAATATACAAAGAACTTACATGACTCCACTCTAAGAAGACACCCAACCCAATTAGAAAATGGGAAAAGTACTTGAACAGACACTTCTCCAAGGAGGACATACAGAACATCCAGAGACACATGAAGAGATGCTCAATATCGCTAGCCATCAGAGAGATGCAAATTAAAACCACAATAAGATACCACTTTACACCAGTCGGAATGGCTATCATAAACAAAGCAACAAACAACAAATGTTGGAGAGGTTGTATGGAAAAGGGGTCCCTAGTTCACTGTTGGTGGGAATGCAGACTGGTACAACCATTATGGAAAACAGTATGGAATTTTCTCAGAAAACTAAAAATGGACCTGCCTTTTGACCCAGCAATTCCACTGCTGGGATTATATCCTAAGAACCCTAAAACACCAATCCAAAAGAATCTATGCACACCAATGTTCATAGCAGCACAATTTACAATAGCCAAGAGTTGGAAGCAACCTGGATAGCCATCAGTAAATGAATGGATCAAAAAATTATGGTACATTTACACAATGAAATTCTATGCAGCAGAAAGAAAGAAGGAGCTCCTATCCTTTGAAACAGCTTGGATGGAACTGGAAAGCATTATGCTGAGTGAAATAAGCCAGCTAGTGAAAGACAAATACCATATTATCTCACCTTTAACAGGAAGCTAAACAACAAAACAAACACTGACACTGAAATAGAGAACAGGGGGACGGTGCCCAGAAGGGAGAGGGGAGGGAATTTCAGGGAGAAAAGGGGAGGGATTTAGAGGAACTAGTATAAAGGATACATGGACAAAACTACGGGGGGTAGAAACGGGAGGGAGGTGGGGGCACTGGGTGGGGGCTGGGATGGGAGTAAAAGACAAAATACTGTAGTTGAAAAATAATTAAATGAAAAATTAAAAAATAAAATAAATAATAAATAAAACCTGAGTAGCATTATTCTGAAAAAACATTTACTCATACAACGCGATGATGAACTGCACCAATTAGTAATGACTAAAAGGAACTCTAGCAATATGTCAGAATATTTGACTATGTTTTTTTCAGGATGTATCTACTACAAAAGATATTATTTCAGATGAAATTTCTGGGAACTACTATTCTCAGAAAGGGGAACAGGGCTTTCTAAAAATGTGGTGTACAACTCCGGGGTGAACGATCAATGTGTGACTATAAACCTTGATGATCTAAGACTTAGAACACTTCCTGGTTATAATAGACAAGATACAGTAGTAAAAATATCACTTTCTTTTTATGGATGGAAGCTATTAAGCAGAATAGGAAATGACCTTGGGTTTTTACTGGGATTTAAAGAAGTAGGCATATCACAGTGGATTCAAATTAACCCTAGAGAATTACCCTACCTTGAAACAAAAAAGGATACAGAAGTCTGTATGGTATACCCAGACTAAATTACAAGTAGATGTGACTACCACTCATCTCAACCTAATATAAGGGCTCCAACATTTGGAGGTACAAAACATGTATCCTAACTTCACTCAGGTTGTTAATACCCAATGGCAATAATAAGCATGGTGGATTAAACAATGTTTGCCCACAAGACAGAGACAGGCTTTAAGGTAGTGGTCCTCAACCTTTTTGGCACCAGGGACCAGTTCCATTTAAGACCATTTTTTTAACAGACCAGAATGAGGATAATGGCTTCAGTATTATTCAAGAACATTACATTCAGTCTCACCTCCTGCTGCACGACCCCATTCCTAACAGGTGCTGACTGATACTAAATCATGGCCAGGAGTTTGGGGACTTTTGCTTTAGGGGACATAGGTGTCAATATAGGCACTGTGAGATACAATCTGAATTCCTCCTTCTTTTAGCAATTGCCCACTGACTGAGCACCTACCAAACAGGGAGGGATGAAATACAACTCGATTTTGGGAACTGGTGGCAGTAGTTCACAGCAGTGGCTATGCCTGAGGCTTATGTTGATGGATGGTAACACAGGGGTAGAGCAGTGGGAAGGGAGGAGACATCCACATATTTGAGTTCTAAGGACGTTTTAATTTCCCAAGGGCAATGCCTAGTAAGAGATTTTGTGTGAAAGTCAACTTCTGGTTAACGTCTTCTGCTTTTTCTTAATATGATCAGAAGATATTGCTGGTGTATGAAAAAAAAGGAGAATCCGTGACAGGCAAAGACTTCAGGACTCTGCACTTTTTTGAAAAGATCCAGTGAATCCTGACTCTTATTCACCAGTGACATCTGTATGCTATCCTGGGTCTACATGGTGACTTAAGGCTCTCACCAAACTGAAAACAATTCATTTGCAAAGCAAGCATTTAAGCCTCTCCTTTCCTCTCCCAGACCTGGATATAGAACTGGAATATCACATGATTCACTTATTGTCACTTACTGATTCACTTACTGTCCTTCAGGGCATCCCAGAAGAACCAGTAGTGCCTATTATTCATCTCCACAGCCACTTAGAAATTAAAATGCTCAATAGAACTAATCTGAGCTAAAGATTAGGGTTCTGTCTAGGAAACATACTTATTTCTGGTTTCAGAGCCCAGAGCTTCCTCCTGATTTACTCATCACCACCCAGGAATCCTACACTCCACAGCAAACTAAGGATCACCTGGGCTTGGCCCCACAAAGGATGGACAGTGGCACATGACACTTTTGTCAAAGACTAAGTGCCCAAACATGTCAATCCAGAGATTCTCATTACAAAAGCTAGAATAAAAATAGAGTGGCCCCAAACAATTACACTTCCTTAAGGCAAGGCTCATATTCTGTATAAAAAGCCAGCTTGCCAGAGACTCTTCACAAGACCTGAAGACGAGACAGCTTGGACTTTTCTCTGCACCAGGTGAGTCTCTCTACTTGTGATTTCTTAATATTTGTCTAATCCTATTTTATTTGCTGGACTCTCTCCATCATGCTAAAAAATATATATTTATATTAAATGCAATCATGATTTGTGGTTAAGGTGACATTACAGATCTTTTTGACTCTCCCCTCAGATTGTACCTATAAAGAATGGTTTCTGTAATGATGACTTGCTCAGTTACAAGATAGGGACTACCAAGTCCAGATAAGTGACTAAAAGTCCTACAGTGACTTTTATTACTTCTTCTAATCATTACTCAAAATTTGATATATTGAGGCACTGCACTGGCAATCTGTGTGCTCAAAACATAGGCTTTCCTTTGCTTCATGATGCCATCCATCAGAGATCTTAAAATGTGGGAGTAATTTGCAAGCATAATCCATGGGAAATGATTAAGAGAGAGGACAAGGCAGGTACTTGTGCTGTGGCAAAGGAGGAAGGTGACTTGAATCTGGCAGAGAGTGTCTGGGAGGAGAGCCATGGTGGGTGAGCCTGTATGGAAGAAGAGAAAGGATGGAAAGCCTTCCAGAAAGCATGCACATGGAGAATGATGTGAACAGAGCACCAGAGGTGGACTCATGTGGGCTCAGGGCAAGTTCCCAAGCAGCTTTCCTATGAGAGCTATGTGGTGGACTTGAGAGAATAGACTTGAGACTTCTGACCTTATGCCCTTTCCAAGTTATTAACAACCTGGAGATTCAGTGAATCCTGAGATGGGCATTGTGTTGTGTTGCTCTTGTAGGGTTGCAGAATGACCAAACAGAAAGGAAGGCTAGATCAGCAATCCACTCTATGTGGCACAAATAAAGTACATTTAAGTTTCTTTTCTTGAATGTGCACAGGAATCAAAGAAGTTTCCATTAACCTTAAATTCAGAGAAACAGAAAGGAAAAGAAGACAGTTGGTCACATCTGTAGGGACATGAAATGAGATATTTATTGTTAAGTTTGTCTTACTCCTTGTTTCAACAAACTTCCTGGTAAACTTTTCAGTCTCTAGGTCCAGCCTCCTTTGAAGCATGAGTTCCTACCAGCAGAAGCAATACAACATCTCAGCTCCCCAGCTTCAGCAGCAGCAGGTGAAACATCCCCAACAGCCTCCACATCAAGAACCATTTGCTCCCAAAGAGCCATGCCACACCAAGGATCCACAGCCTGGTCACACCAACGATCCACAACATGACCATACCAAGGTTCCCGAACCTGTTCACCCTCAGGTCCCTCAGCCTGGCCACCCCAAGCATCCACAACCTGACCAAATCAAGGTTCCTCAACCTGGCCACACCAAGGATCAACAACCTGGCCTCAACAAGATTTCTCAGCCTGGTCACATCAAGGATCCTCAACATAACCACACCAAAGTTCTTGAGCCAGTTGACCCTCAGGTCCCTCAGCCTGGTTACCCCAAACATCCACAACCTGGCCAAACCAAGGATCAACAACCTGGCCACAACAAGATTCCTCAGCCTGGCCACAACAAGGATCCTCAACATGACCACATCAAGGACCCTCAACATGACCACACCAAGGTTCCTGAGCCTGTTAACCCTCAGGTCCCTCAGCCTGGTCACCCCAAGCATCCACAACCTGGCCAAACCAAGGATCCACAAGCTGACCAAATCAAGGTTCCTCAGCCTGGCCACAACAAGCATCCACACCCTGGCCAAACCAACGATCAACAACATGGCCACACAAAGCATCAACAACATGGCCACACCAAGGATCAACAACCTGGCCACAACAAGATTCCTCAGCCTGGCCACATCAAGGACCCTCAACATGACCACACCAAGGTTCCTGAGCCTGTTAACCCTCAGGTCCCTCAGCCTGGTCACCCCAAGCATCCACAACCTGGCCAAACCAAGGATCCACAACCTGACCAAATCAAGGTTCCTCAGCCTGGCCACACCAAGCATCCACACCCCGGCCAAACCAACGATCAACAACATGGCCACACAAAGCATCAACAACATGGCCACACCAAGGATCAACAACCTAGTCACAAGATTCCTCAGCCTGGCCACAACAAGGATCCTCAACATGACCACATCAAGGACCCTCAACATGACCACACCAAGGTTCCTGGCCTAACACTAAGGTCCATCAGCCTGGCCACCCCAAGCATCAACAACATGGCCACACCAAGGATCCACAACCTGACCAAATCAAGGTTCCTCAGCCTGGCCACAACAAGCATCCACACCCTGGCCAAACCAACGATCAACAACATGGCCACACAAAGCATCAACAACATGGCCAAACCAATGATCAACAACATGGCCACATCAAGGATCAACATCATGGCCACACCGAGGATCCACAACCTGACCAAATCAAGGTTCCTCAACCTGGCCACACTAAGGATCAACAACCTGGCCACACTAAGGATCAACAACATGGCCACACCAAGGATCAACAACATGGCCACATCAAGGATCAACATCATGGCCACACCGAGGATCCACAACCTGACCAAATCAAGGTTCCTCAACCTGGCCACACTAAGGATCAACAACCTGGCCACACTAAGGATCAACAACATGGCCACACCAAGGATCAAAAACATGGCCACATCAAGGATCAACATCATGGCCACACCAAGGATCCACAACCTCACCAAATCAAGGTTCCTCAGCCTGGCCACACCAAGGATCCACAGCCTGGCCACACCAAGGATCAACAACCTGGCCACAACAAGGTTCCTCAGCAGCCTGGCCACATCAAGGATCCTCAACATGACCACACCAAGGTTCCCGAGCCTGTTCACCCTCAGGTCCCTCAGCCTGGCCATCCCAAGCACCCACAACCTGACCAAACCAAGGTTCCTCAACCTGGCCACACCAAGGATCAACAACCTGGCCAAACCAAGGATCCACAACCTGGCCACAGGAAGCTTCCAGAGCCAGTTCACCCTCAGGTCCCTCAGCCTGACCAGCCTAAGATCCCTGAGCCATATTCTCCAATAGTTATTCCAGGCCCATCCCAGCAGAAGACCAAGCATAATTAATATGGTAACAGCCATGCCCTTGAAGAGCCACCAAATGCTGAACACCTTCTTCCCTTCTGCTTCTGTGTTGTAATTATCTTGTCATCAGTATGTTCTCACCATCTATCAGAATCTCTCTCTTAACTGCATTTTAATATATATTTTCTATGAGGCTTTTGCTGATCACTCTGAAGGGTCCTCTGAGCCTTTGAATTATGCTGAAGGCCTAAGTGGCTTTGCTGGTCCTAAGTTGCTCAGGTCTCATCTGAAGAGTTGATCTGATTGAGAAGAATGCCTGTTTCTGCTCTGCCACCATTAAATGAATTTAACACCACTTTTGACTACTTATGTCATTTGCTATATCTGTCCCTTCCTGGTCTGTCATGAGTAGGGCCTGTAATCAGAAAGCAGTTGGTGTAGACATCATTGATCTGTCCTGGTACTGTGTGCTTCAAGAACGTGTGAGTGTGTGATTTCATGTGGGGCATCCTGAAAATGGCCATGGCTATTGTGTAAGGGAACCCAGAGCCTGTCACTTCGGGCAGTCACACCTGGAGCAGGGCACTCCTCTGACACTGGGCTGAGTCATGCCTCAGTTCCATGGTGCCTGCTCCAAGCCACCTCTGATCCTAAGGGCCCTGTCCCCAAGGCTCCTGCTTAGTCCCATTAAAACATCACTGCTACACACTCGAACCTAATTATTCTGGTTTTCTTCACTCATTTCACCTTCCAGAAAATGAATACATACAGTCCCATGCTCACAATGAAGCACATTCATTTAAGTTCACACACATTCTCCTAATTATCCACATAAGCCTTGCTCTCATTAGCTCAGACAATGTTCTTTTTGCCTCCACCTATCCTGTACAAGGGTGAGGAGGATACACAGTGCCTTTCCTTGGAGAATCAGTAGTCTTTTCTGGGAGATACAGTATTCACATCCTCACACAAACATGTACATATACAGCCACAAGCAAACACTCCAAATAATGTCTCTCCCAAAATGAAACACAGAAGCCTGCCTATTCAGTGATTAGAAAACTGAGGTGAGTCTGAAGAAGAGATTAGGAGGAGGAATGTGTGATCCAAGTGAGGTGGTAACCAGCAGTAACTGGCAATTCACCGTTGTTTATAGTTCAATGACAGTGAACAGGTTGTTGAGCTATAAAATGTCAGGGGTGTAATGAGAGTTAAATAGCACCTTGCATAGTCCCTGTGTTTCCAGATAAAAAACTGGTATTCAGAAAGGAGAAGAAGACAAAGTGAGATCAACCAGAAATTGTTTTCAAATGACATCCAGAGCCCAGGTTTCCAGATTTCTAGATCATCATTTTCTCCTTCAGCCTGCTTTTGTTTCCAAGGATGACTATCAGGTTTGCAGGTTTTTGTTGAATGGGTCTTGGATTTTAGGGAGCTTGTTCCCAAATCAGTGAAGCAAACAGAAAACATCAGAATAACTGTAGTGGTCCCTGGAAGTATACCCCCTTTCCTGCAAGAGATTCATGGTGTCTAACACCACATAAAGTGAGGCAGGTGTCAGGTGGTATCTGAGGGACACAAAAGCACTCCAAATAGTGTTGGCAAAAGCTAAAAAATATTTGGAAACTTTAAGACAGAAACTGTCCGACAGGTTATTACAAAATGATGAATAGTCAAATTATGTTTCCAGGGTCTGTACAGTATGCACATTTGAAGTGACTTCATTATTCTGCTGGTTTCTTTTGTAAAAATATTTAATAATATATCCAGGCCATTTATAATTAAAGGGGTTAACTCTTAATGAAGAAATGGGCTTCATAATACACAAAGGGTATGAATATGGTTTAAGCATCTTAAAGAAGAGTTTGGCAGGAATGAATCAAAAGGTATAAAGTTCTACCTTATTCTTGAACTATCATTTTATTCTGGAAATTTATTTTTATGAAATATTTATGATCGTATACAAATATTTTATACACAAGGATAAATTTCAGCATTCTATCCAGTATCAAAAAGTTGATAACATGTAAGTGCATATCAATAGATAATGGGTTCAATAACTATATGTTAGGGTTATACAGCACCCATTAACAAGATTGTTGTAGGAAAATGATGTCTTATTGGGAAATGTTCAGATTATATTATTACAAAAGCATCTAGTACCTGCTTTTGTGGCTAAGTGGCTCAGTTGATTGAACATCATCCTGTTCAAGAAAAGATCACAGGTTCAATCCCCAGTCATGTCATATTCCTAGGTTGTGGGTTCAATAAGCATATCCTTGGAAGAGGAAAAAAGAGTAGACACTAAACAATTTAAGTAAAAGACATCTTTTCAATAAGGTATGCATTTGTGTGTGTTTATAGAAAAAAATATCCTGACATTAAATGAAGCAACCTGTAACTATGGCTAGTTCTGTATGCTTATTCATTAGTGTTCGTTATTTATATAGCTTTGTCTTCCATTTACGCATTATATAAATGTTATTTGATTTCTGTATAACTTTTATTCATTATATTAGAAAATACAGAAATCAGTGAAAATGCTGCTGACTAGTAAAATATAAGTTCTGCCCATACAAAATTCCTGAGGCTCTGCAGCAGATTCCATAGCAGCAATCTAAGGGTGGGGGATTCCACACCCTGGTGGGGCAGCCCATGTGTCTCTTTTCTCTACACAGCTCCATCTCATTTCTTGATCTTCTGGTAAGGACAATGGATGTTCCAACTACTCCACTCACACTCACAGCTCAAGGGCCCCAGATCCTATCCACTGACTGACAACTGAAATCATCTAAGAAGTAAATGACAAGTTATCTTCTTCTTGTCTCAGCTCCTGTGTTGCTTCAGTCCCTTTCCTCCTTTGTGACTTGGCAAAACTGTACCCTATTGGGATAACTATTTTGAGAGTTGTTACTACTTCTAGGTGAAGAACTTTCAGTCCAAACTATGAACAGTTTGGCAAACTTCAGGTCCACAGTCTAATTGTTCATGTCAACTTGTGCCAACAAGTTAGTATCTCTTTATGGTTTTTTTCCTTATCTCCACTTTCCTAAGTCCTACCAGAACTATGACCTCTATAATTCCTGAATAAATCTTTCTGGTTGACACAGAAATTGATTCAAGGACTTTCCTGTACTTCCATATTTCTGACTTAGAAAATTGTCATTATTGGATGTTAATGTCAACCATTTTCTTCAGCTATTCTTTGCCAATCCTCAACTTAATTTCCTCCCCTCTCTTCTGTCTGTTCTCTGTAATGCTCTATATTCTACACTACTCCCCACTCCTGCCACCCACACTTCCCTGGAACCCAGTGGCCTGTCTGGACTTTGGATCTTATTAGGCCACCAGGCCCTTGACACATTTGCAGATACAGTTGTCAGGCAGGCTGCTGCTTTCACCAGATGCCCTTTGTGTCCTGTACCATGACATTGGTGGTTATTGGATCACATCTGACTTCACACTGTAAGCATCCTGAGGGCAGAAGTCCTCTTGTTCTGGGCTGTAGACTCAGAATTCAGCCCACCAGCTATCAAATAGTGGGAGTTTATCTAATGTCTCCTGAGATGCTAAGCACTTTATACCTTCACCAAATCATTCCATGGGTTTGAAGGAAACATTCTGAACCTCACTCTGAATCCAGATCACTCCTGCCTACTGCTGAGGCCTTAAGCCTCATCCTTTCCACCCCATTCTGCTCTCTCCACATCTAAAGCAGCAGTACTCAGAACTGCAAACAACCTTCTCTGTCCTGTTTGTACATGAAATACCCAGAGAGGTCTTCATCTCCCAGAAGACAGAGAGCTTCCTGAGGGCAGGGTTACATGTCCTCAGCTTCACTGAGGCCCACAAGTTGGATATTGTCCATTCTCCCATCTACGAGGTGGTGATCATGAGGGCAGGTAGGAGAACCCAACCTTCATTAATCTTCTGAGAGGGAAGTATAAACATAATATATAATTATGTCCATCTATAAAATATCATGAATACTGTTCTATATAAATTATTAAATATATTTCTATTTCTTCCATACTAGTGTAAAAAAATTTTATTTGGTTCTAACTAACATCATTTAAGAAATACTAAATTCTCTTTAAAAAACATTAAACCAAAAAAATAAGTAAATAAAAATAAATAAAAAATAAAAAACATTAAACCTAAAATTTCTATCACCTTTTTGGCTCACTTATTTAGGCCCTTGTACCAATTATAAGTAGTCATTGCCCTAGAAGAAAGATAATAATTATATATATAATGTTTTATATATTACTTACAGTAAGATAAATGATTCACTAAAAAGCCCAAGACTTCAGTAGCTTAGGGCAACAGAAGTTTAATTTATGCATCTATGATATTGAATTTGGACTGTAAAGGGAGTTCTATTCTACCCAGTCACACAGGGACTCTGTCTCTGCCATGTGTAATTCTATCATCTTCCAGAGTCTCTCGAAATATACCACAATGCTATGAGAACCAGGAATTTGGGGTGTAGATAAGAAAATTTTGTTCCTAATTAACAAGGCCAGAGGTGATCTTCATCACTTCTGCCCATATTCTCCTAGGCAAGTACAGATTACATGATTCTATCTAGTTAATAACACTGCAATGTATACTTGAAATTTGCTAAGAAAGTAGATCATAAGTGTTCTTAGCACACACACATAAAAAAAATTAACTATGTGAGGTGATGAATGTGTTTGTGAGAATTATTTCACAATATGTATATATATGAAAGCATCATGGTATACACAGTAAAAATGTACAATTTAAATTCTATTATATAACTTATAATAGAATATAACTTATAACTTAATAAACTGGAGGAAAGTAAATAAAATAAATAATGCTGTCATTAAAAAACAAAAATAGAAATAAATGTACTGAGCTTTGAAAACTATGACGTGCTTGCACACAGGAAAGTAAGAACACAGATATCACTGATTCCTCAAATCCTGCCATAGCACATTCCTTTGATCATCCAGTATATATTTCCTATATGCTTGCTTCCTTTTTTCTCATACATAAATGGGGAAAAAAAAAAGCACTAGGGGCTAAATTCTTCTTATCATCATCCTTCTCAATGTCTGGAATCTCTGAGTGATTGAGTGATGTTTAGTTTTACCTACATGATAAAGCAATGGAAAGGGAGGAACTATCCACATATCTGAGTTTTAAGGTTATTTGAATTTCCCAAGGGCAATGCCTAGTAAGAGACTGCGTGTTCAACTCAATTCGGGGTTAGTGACTTCCGTTTCTTCTTACCATGATCAGAGGACATGGCTGGCATGTGAAATCAGGGGCTCAGAGCTCTCTTGTTTCTGTGTTGCCCCCAGAAAAGAGAGACTTCATGAGAGGCAGGTTCTTCAGGGCTGTAACATCAGTTCTGACACATGCAATCAATCCTGATGGTCCATCCCCAGTGACATCTGCTATCCCTGGTTCACATGACATCTTGAGGCTTCCTCCAAAGTCAAAACAACTCATTTTTAAAGAACGAATTTTAGCCTTTCCTTTCCTCTCCCAATCTCAGATCCACTGACAGATGAAAATCAGATGGGTCACTTATTGTCACCATCTGCATCAATTCCCAGAAAAAAACGTAATGCCTTTTGTTAATCTCCCCATCCACTTAGGAAACTAAAATGTTCAAAATAATTCATCTGAGCTAAAGATTAGGGTCTTGTCAAAGAGGCATGGTTTTTCTATTCCCAGAATCTCGGAAGTTCCCCTTGATTTAATTCATAACCATCCAGAAAGCCTCTTTGTTGTTCATAGCTACACTAACTCAACACAAAGGATGGACAGTGGGGACAGGCCCAGATGACATCATTATCAAACACTAAGTCTCAAAAAAAAGTTAAGCCAGAGATTTTTATTACAAATGCTGGAAGTAAGCTAGCATTAAATCTAAAACTCCAACTTTTTAAAGGTAGGACACGTTTTCTGATGAAAATTCAGCTGGCAAAGATTTTCCACTGACCTACAGATCAAACTTTTCTGTACACCAAGTTAGACTCCCTACTTGGAACTATTCACCCAATGGCATTTTATTTGGGATCTCTTAACATTATAACAATATATCTAAAATGTGTTTGCAGTTTGTGCTTAAGGGTACTAAAGTACATAATTTGTACTTCCCATTTAGAGTACACCTGTGGAAATTGGTTCAGAAAAAGAAAATAATTTCTGTAAAGATAGCTATAAAGTTGCCAGGAGGATATGAACTAGCTATTATGTCTGGGGTACTTTTAGTGACATTTTAATTATTACTCTAATTTTATTAAGAATTTTGATATCAAATGCATTGAACTAGATAATTTGATGATCAAAAGTTAAATTCTTTACTTCATGACCCTATGACCCTATGATCTATAGAACATAAAACATGAGAGTAATTTGCAAACATACTTCACAGAAAGTGATTTCTAGAGAGGGCAAGGCAGGTACTATGCTGTGGCAAAGGAGGAAGGTGACTTGGATCTGACAGAGTCTCTGGGAGGACAGCCTTGGTGGGTGAGCATGTGGGGAAGCAGCAATAGGATAGAAAGCCTTCCAGAAAGCATGCACACATGTGGAGCAGAATAAAGCATCTTTAAGCTTCTTTTATTGAAAGTGCACAGGAATCACCAAAGTTTCCATTTATCTTAAATTCAGGGAAACAGAAAGAAAGAGAAGGAAGTATCTTGCCTATGAAGAGACATTAAATGAGACATAGTTATCATTAAGTTTGTCCTTTTCTTTGTTTCGCCAAACCACTGAGTCAACTTTTCTGTCTCTAGGTCCAGCCTCCTTTAAAGCATAAGTTCCCACCAGCAGAAACAAGTGAAACAGCCCTGCCAGCCTCCACCCTAAGAAACATTTGTTCCCATAACCAAGGAGCCGTGCCACACCAACATTTCTCAGCCTGGCCACACCAAGGTACAAGAGCTGAGTCACCCTAAGTTTCCAAACCATACATCCCAACTATTTCCACAAGCCCATCCCAGGAGAAGATGAAGCAGAAGTAATGTGGTCCATAGCCATGTCCTTGAGCTGACCACTGGATGCTGAACCCCTTCTTTCCTTCTGCTTCTGTGTATTTATTGTCTGTAGATTTTATAATCAGTATATTTTCACCCTGAGTCACATTCTTACTTGCATCTAAAAACATTTGCTATGGAGCCTTCCTTATATTCACTTTAGAGGTCCCCTGAGCCTCTACATTAAGCAGGAGTCTTAGTGGTTCTGTGAGTCTTCAGCTGCTCAGGGTTCATCTGAAGAGGAAATATAAATGGGAAGAAATGCATGTTTCCTGCTCTGCCTCCATTAAATCACTTCTAAGTTCACTCCTGACTGTATGTGTCATTGAGTGACTCTGCCCCATTCACTGCTATTCCATCATGAGTAGGGCCTGTAATCAGAAATGAGTTGGTGCAGACGTCATCTATTTGTCCTGGTACAGTGTATTCCCATGAGTGTGTGTGTAACTGCATTTAGGGGGCATCCCGAGAATGGCAATGGCTATTGTGTAATGAAACCCAGAGCCTGTCATTTTGGGCAGTCACACCTGGAGCAGGGCGCTCCTCTGACACTGGATTGAGTCATGCCTCAGTCCATGGTGACTGCTCCAAACTACCTCTGATTCTGAGGGCCCTACCCCCAAGGCCCCTGCTTATTCCCAAAAACATCACTGCTACATACTTGAACCTAATCATTCTGGTTTTCTTTACTGATTTAACCCACAAATACAGATTTATCCAGTGACTTAAAACTAGAAGTGAATTTCAGGTAGCGATTAGGAGCATATGATCCAGGTGAGGTGTGTAATTAGCCACAGTGCTGGGGAAAAGCTGGTCATTAAGTTGTAAAATATCAGGTGAGAAAAGAGACTTAAGAGTATCTGGTACAGCCATTCTGTTTTTCAAGTAAAGAAAATGATAACCAAAACATTAATTAGAGTAACCCAGAAATTGATTTTGCATCATACCCAGAGCCCAGTTCTCCAGACACCTGCTTCTCACTCTCTTCTGCAGCCTAGTCTGGTTGATTTCACGGGGGAGCAGCAGGGTGTAGATCTGTGTTGAGTGGGTCGGGATATTAGAGAGCTGCTTCCAGCAGTAGAGAAGACATCATAAATTTTTAGAAGGGCTACAGTAGTCCTTAAGGAACTAACCTCACTTTATGTTAGGATGCATGGTCCATAATATCCAGGTGTAAGACAGGTGACAGGAATAAGAAATCTAAGTAAGTTTAGCAAGAATTCCACATATTTGGAAGCTTGTAAGACAGAAATTTTCCAACAGCTCATGACGAGGTTGATGAGTAGTTGTCAAACCAGCAGGAAAAAATGATGCGTCTTGGGTCTATACATTCTGCACATGTGACATGGCTTCATGCTGGTTTCAATAGTAGAAGAGTCTAGATAGAACTTCAGGCCACTCGCAATTAAATAGGCTGATCCTAAATGGGGAAATGAGCTCTATGATACATTACCATTACAAATGTAAAATAATGTTACTCCTATCCTTTGGAGCCTGATTTTTAAAAAATATGTATCTTATTGTGATATAAAATTTATCATTTTAATCATTTTAAGTGTATAATTCCCTGGCATTAAATACATTTACAATGTTGTGTGCTTTTGTTAAAGTGTATGAAAGCATATGAGTTTATGGAAAATAAAAAATTCTGACATTAAACACACCAAAATACAGGGGTGGGCAAAAGTAGTTTCACAGTTGTGAGTACACAAAACACAGAGTTTATCTACCTATTGTAATGATCATAACCTGCATGTCTTTTTCCATACAAACAATTATAAACCTACTTTTGCCCACCCCTGTATAAATAGTGATTATTTCTGGCTGCTTTTTGTTAGCACTCATTTTTGAAAAGCTTTATGTTTTCTACATTACATATGATATATTATTTCTTTTTTATAACTTTTAATCAAAATATCTTAAAAATACAGAAGTCAGTGAAGAAATATATGTCCTGCCCATCCAGAACATTCCTGAGACTCTGCAGCAGGTCCCATAGCAGCAGCCCAAGGGTGCGGTGTTGGGGACCACTCTGCCTGGTTTCAGGAATTGTAACTACGCCCATGGCTAAGGATGAGCGAATGACCTTTGGAATTCGAGCCACAGGAGACAAAAGCTTATCTCTGGTAGCAAAGGCTGCCTCAGTTTCCTCTCCCTGCCCCCAAACCATGGTCAGAAGTCAGAGATGGGTAAGACTCCTCACAGCAAGGGGCAACCTAAGCCAGCCACAATCACTTGAGAGACCATCATGGAAGGACTCAGGGGGCTGCAACAAAGAGCAAGCAATAGACCCTTGCCCCCTGGCTACATGACATAGCCTGAGTCCCCATGTCCTCTGGAAGAAGCACTCTCTGGCTCTAATCCACTTAAGCCTGAAAACCTGATGGGGAGAGGTGCAGCTCCTTGCCTTGCTAGAGCAGATCTGGATCCGGGGAAATCTGACATAAGAAAGAATTCCTAAAAAATCCTGCTTTGCTAAGAGTGCTTTCATTCATATGTTAAGGGTCTGAGCAGGAAACCCTAAAGTTTCTGAAAAACTCCCTTCCTGACAGACTCTGACTCAGACTAAGCCCTCAGCTTTCTTTGAAATGTTATCTACTGTTTGATCCTTGCTGCCCTGTATTCCTGTGTATCACAACCCAATAAAAGCCCCTGGAGGAAGGGGATCCTGGCCTTTTTCCTCTGAGAAACTGCCCACCTCTACTCCCCAAGCAGATCATGTCTTGGTATTGTTTACTTTCATCCATGGTGGATGGAGGCACTTGAGGGCAAAATTGCCCTCACATTTTACCACGTGGGGAAGTTCATACAATCATGCCCTTGGCCTCCCAGGAAAATCAGAAACAATTTTTTATCTCCACATCCACTTCCAATACTAAACAGTTCAACAAGCCCGGTCAGTGCCAAGGATTAGGAAACAGGAATTAGGCCTCCAGGAAACAGGGCTGTTTCTGGTTGCAGCAGCCCTAGGACTTACTCCTCTCACCTGTTGTCCTACACCACCCTTACACTTTGCACCCAAGTGTTGTGTAAACACTACACTTGGGTGCAAAGGACCCTCAGTGGGGATAAGTCTTAGGTGACATCATTGTCAGACAGCAAGTGCCAAAAATATGTCGAGTGGGTGACTTCATCACAAAAACTGAACTAACAGGTAGATGAGGGGACTGGGATGAATCACGTTTGGCAGCAAATAATTAAGACACAGCAGTTTGAAAAAAATCTCCTTTCCTTGAGAGAGGTATCAGTCACTATAAAAAGCCAGTTGTCTGGGGACACCACAGCAGATCTGAGTGACCACACAGCCTACTCTTCTCTGCACACCAGGTGAGTCTCTTTCCTTGGAACTTTTTACCATTCACTGAAAGTTTTTTTAATTTTTATTGAAAACCCTTGTTATTTTTGCTATCTTTTACCCTACTATTGAAATTCAACTATCAGAGTTATAGCCTCTAGAAATAGCTTGGTTTTAAAAGTTTTCATAGTTTGAGCTTGAAAGGACTTAAGATGTTATCAATTCTGCCCCATCAGTTCTTGCCAGAGAGAAGAGGATTGTGTAAGACTCTCAGCAGGATAAGTCCTGCTAACTTACACTTAGTAGAACTTACAGTGACATTATAATTCTTTCTTTATTCATAATTTAACACAGAGAAATGTATTCTTTTACCAAATTGTTTTATGAGAATTTATTATGTTGGCATATCATTTGCTAAAAACAATTTAGACAACAGGGAATTTATTCCACAAAACTACAATTTATAAAGAAAAAATGGGCAGGAAAATGAAATACTATGTAGAAAGTCACATGCATGAAGCAACAAGGATAAGTAAAGGGCTGTGGTAGTTTGGGGATAGAAGTGATTTCTAGAATACTTACTCTAGAAATTCCTCCCAAAGGTATCATATGAGATGATCTGTAATCCATGGTGGCTGGGTATTTCTGGACAAACAGAATGAGGGAAATATTTGAGGCAGAGTAGGGTGTGAGTGACACTAGAGGGGGATAATGTGGGTTTCTAGAAAAGTCAGTAATTATCTTATAGGTGATAAATCATTCTATTATCAGAAATGTGTGGGGTGCTGAAGTTACTGGGTTTTTTTCAAATATCACATTTCCATGTGATCCCAATATTGTGCTCTCACATTTCTGCCAAGAGCCTGCAGTTGTGTTGTTTTGCTAATTGGGTTTTAAGATGTGCCAGGAGGAAAGAGAGCACTGGGAGATGCCCTGAGTGGAGCAGAACCAACTGCCTTTCTGTTCCCCCTGTTCAAAGGCTCAGAAATCATTAAGGTGTAGGGAGAGAAAGGAGAACCTTTGCTTCTTAGGAGATCTGAAGTGGCATTGAACATGGCTTCTTCCCTAGTTAATCCCTATTTAAACCATCCATTCTGATCTCTAGGTCCAGCCTTCTTTGAAGCATGAGTTCCCACCAGCAGAAGCAGCCTTGCACCACACCCCCCCAGCTCCAGCAGCAGCAAGTGAAACAGCCCTGCCAACCTCCACCCCAGGAACCACGTATCCCCCAAACCAAGGAGCCGTGCCACACCAAGGTTCCTGAGCCATGCCACCCCAAGATGCCAGAGCCCTGCCACCCGAAGGCTCCTGAGCCATGCCACCCAAAGGTGCCAGAGCCCTGCCACCCAAAGGCTCCTGAGCCATGCCACCCAAAGGTGCCAGAGCCCTGCCACCCAAAGGCTCCTGAGCCCTGCCACCCAAAGATGCCAGAGCCCTGCCACCCAAAGGCTCCTGAGCCATGCCACCCCAAGGTGCCAGAGCCCTGCCACCCTAAAGTTCCGAAGCCATGCCCAGAGCCAGCAGTCATTCCAGCACCAGTTCAACAGACCAAGCAGAAGTAATGTGGCCCATGCGCTTGAGGCCACCACCACCGAATACTGAATACCCTCTCCCATTCTGCTTAACTACCCCATTTGCCTTGCAACTAGCACACAGTCACCCATAGTCAAAATCTTCACTCATCTGTACCCTAAAAATATGTGCCATAAAGCTTTCTTTCTCAAACACTCTGGGCCTCTGAGCTTCTGAATGAGGCTGACAGTCTTTGTACCTTAGAACTTTAGTTTTCAGCTGCTCAGAATTCATCTGAAGAGGAACTTAAGGTGAAAACTGATGGATCAGCTCTGTTTTGCCCCCATTAAATGCACTTTCAATTTCACTCCTGACTCTGTGTGTTGTGTTCTGATTCAATGACTTCATTCCTTCTTCTCATGAAGTAGGACCTGTTCACAGACAGGTTGGTGAGAAAGGGCATCATTCAGAGACTTCAGATCCTGGTCCTTGGTGGGTGTGGGGTTTTCCCCACTGACTTTTCCTGGGCTGGCAATGGAGGTTGTGTAATGCCACCCAGAGGCTGTTGCTTGAGCATCCAGGGCTGGAGCAGGGCTCTCCTCTTACAACTCCTTACAACTCAGTGAGTCACGCTGGAATCTAGTTAGTGCCTGTCTTCTCTGACTCTGACTCTGACTGACTTTCTAAGCTTGAGTGCCTTGCCCCTAAACCTGGCTTTCAGACTGCTGACTTAACCAGCTAATTTCTGTTTATTTCAAGGGATGTTGTTCCTACATATGTGATTCTGCTCCTCTCCACTCATTTCTTTCTGATACCTGTGACTCAGTTTCTCAAACATACACAAGGATTCACAGCCTCCACATTTGTTATCTCAATCAATCCTCTCCCACTCTCTGAGTGCCCACTCTGCCAGGAAGAGAATGAGGATTCACAGTTCTTGCCTTAGGGCATTTACAGTTGTTTAGAGTGATGTACTTCACTCCTCACCGGACTCCTCATACAAACAAACATACACACCCATGCATGCTAGATTAAGAGTTTTTCCAGAGTACCACATATAAGCTGATCCACTGCATCCCAAGTTGTAAACTGCTTACTTCACATATAAGGTTGCAGGAAGCACAGAAAATGAGAACTGGAAAGCCCACCACTCCATCCTAGAGTATAAAAATGTTTACAGTGAAATGAAACATGGTAGAATTGTCAACCATGCATTCATATATATGTGTATTTATTCATATTCAGATTTACATCAGAAGTATGTTTCTTGTCCTGGCCAGGTGGCTCAAGTAGTTGGAGTGTCATCCCATGTACTAAAATGGTTGCGGGTTCAATTTCCTGTCTGGGCACATACTGGTCAGAGTGCATACAGGATGTTTCTCTCTCACACTGATGCCTCTCTCCTCTCACCTCTTCTCCTCTCCCCTCCCTTCCCCTCCCCTTCCCTCTGCTCCTCTTTTCTCTCTCTCTCTCTCTCTCTCTCCCCCTTCCTCCCTCCCCCTCTCCCTCTAGAACAGAGGTGTCCAACCTTTTGGCATCTCTGGGCCACACTGGAAAAAGAAGAGTTTTCTCAGGGCACTCATTAAATACACAAACACTAATGAAAACTGATGAGCAAAAAAAAAGATCTGTGTATAATTTTCATGACATCACCACCAAAAATAAGAAAAAAAGTCTTCATATAATAACCCTAATTGTGCAGCACCCTTTTTGATAATCTTTTAAAATCATTGAGTGGGTCCCAAGTTTGTGATCATTAATATAGGAAATGTACATACCTAACAATAAAACATCATTGATAGTTTTTTATATTTTTTATTATAAAAGGAAAGAGGGCAACATACAACTAGTGGTATATTTGACATTGTATTTGAGAAACCAGTGCATCAGTATCTGGTTTGATAGAAGTAGTTGTAATTCTAAGAGAGTTCTCCACATGATCATCAGATATTTGAGTTCTAATTTTACTGTTAATGTGTTTCATTCTTGAAAATGGTTGCTCATAAATGTAGGTGCCACCAAATAGTGACGCCATGAATAAGGCTTGATTGTGCACCCATGGGTACAAATAGGGAGAGCATACATACATTTCTTTTATGTAACATTGCAACACATAATCACAAAAAAAATCTCATAATGTTTTAAGTAAATTTACAATTTTGTGTTGGGCTGTATTCATAGCCATCCTGAGTCTCATGCAGCCTGCATGCAGGCCACAGGTTGAACACCCCTGCTCTTGAAGCAATAAAGAAACATATCCTCAGGTGAGAATTTTTTTTAAGTGTGTTTCTTTTTATATTACTGGAAGACAAAGAAAACTTTCCTGCAGCAGTATAAAAAGAGACATATTTTCCCTTAGATTGTAAAATGAAATAATGAAAAAAATCACAAGCATTTGTATATAACATAAGCAATTGTGATAGTTTTGATCATACTGTTTTTACCTAACTTCATTCCTTAAAGCCTATTTGAAAAATGTTTACCTAAAAGTCTTATTATCTTAAACATCTTTTTGTTTAGTTAGTAGATAAGGTCCACTGTCATAACAGAGTAAATAGTGCCACCTAGCACCAACTCAATTAGTCAAAACAAACAGAAAATAATGTGTCTTAACCATACTATTTATTAGTCAACTATAACAAACACCACCTAAATTTTTGTGGCTCAGTCCAGAAAGTATTTCTTACTTGTGTCCAAGTCCAATGTGGACTGGCAATGATTTTGCTGCATGCAGTCATAAAGGGAGCCAGGTTCCTTTCTTCACATGGTCTCACCATCATTGAATGTCTTGTCCTCCTCTGGATGCAGGTCCAAGAACAAGGAAATAGAGTATATTCAGGGAAATAGACTGAAAATAAAGAATACGCCCTTCTCTCATCCATTTGGAATAAGGGATGACAAATCCTTTCTGTCCTTACTGGCTTGAGTAGAATTAGGTCATATGGCCCCATATACCTACAAAGTCAAAAATGTAGTTTCTTGGTAGGACCATGGTGAGCTCTTCAATTTCTGCCACTGCCTACCCTTCTGGTCCTCACCTATCCATTTACTTCTTTTGCCTCATAAACAGAATATAGTCCCCCCAGGGAACAACCCCTTATCCCCATCCAGCTTCAAGTACATTCTCTGGTGACATAGCATTCTCCCTATCATGTCTTTCTATAGCTCCTATTAGTTTAACAATCTAGGAAATAAACAAATGAACCTTTTTTTTCCTGTTACCCAGAATTCAATGATGAGATCCTGGAAAACTAAATAGAAACTGCCATATGCAAGAAAAAATAATGGAGAACAAATCACTGTAACTTAGCCTTAGTTTTCTAAAATACAGCTGGGATTGCATTGTCAAGCCATATTTTCCCCGCATCTCAACATCCAGAAGTGATAGAAATTCTGTGTTAACATCTTGATTCGGTTCAGTGGAAGGAACTCCTTTTTCCTTTTTTATTCATAACTCTGCCATTGTTAGGATTATTTCATTTACATGATTAAAGCTCAAGTGTGTGTTGCAGATCAAGATCTCCTAATTAGTTCACTTTCGACGCTCCCTTTCTAAGCAAGTGTGGTTTTAAGGCTCTTGGAAACATGTTTTGTTTTGTTTTGTTTTGTTTTGTTTTGTTTTGTTTTGTTTTGTTTTGTTTTGTTTTGTTTAAAATCTAGGCTATGGTTACTTTGGAGATATGATTCCTCAAAAACTTTATAAACTTCCATTTGCTTCCAGTCAATTGTACACCCCAATAACTATCCTCAAATTTCTTTCCCAAAAAATATTTGTATGCTTCCTTTTCCTTTTGCCTTTCTTTCTCAACTGTAGATTTTTTAATACTATTTGGAAAAAATAATTTTTTTGTGGGATGGCATTAAAATCTTAATTTAATCTTGACTGAAAACCTGGGTCTTGTTCTCTCAAAATCATTCTCAATTTTATCTTTTTCTATTCAATACCTAGAGATAATCAACTTTCTCAACCCTATAGGTCTTTAAAATTCTGGTTTTTCTCTGTCCCCTCATATGCTTGCAAAAGCATAGAGTCTGGCTCCACCTTCGGCATCCAAGCCTACAGATGCTATCAGGGCAGAACAAGAGGTACCTGCTAAAGTCTTTACAAAGGCACACACTTCCTGTCCTGAGGCCTTCCGTGTTACAAATGAGAGGCAACCTCATGAAAATGCATTAAAGTTTTTTATAAATAGCCTTTGAAAAATTTCATCTGCCTGCAAAGGAAATGTTTTCTAACAATCCTGTTTCTAACAGTGTCTCTGAAAATAGGAATACCTCTTATGTTACAGGAGGTGGCTTAAGTGAAGAACAATATAATTCAAATGTTGGTTGTATTATTATGTTAATGTTGCCTTATTAAAGTACCTAATTTAAATATATCATCTGCCATTTTATGGACATGATTGCTGATGGCCAGTTATATTAGAAATTCAAAAGTTTGGTATGAAATGATTGTAAATATAAAAATATTAAGAATGTTATATGATACATGTAATGTGTAATTATGACAAATATACTGGGCGTTATGGGAGCAACTAAAGTTTGGAAAGCAGTGTCCTAATATATTCTACAATCCTTGATACAGATTTGATTTCTGTCTTTACAGAATAAGTTCTCAAATATTTCTCCACAGTTGAGCTCTTCAGTCCTAAACATAAATTCTACTAATTCTTTAAAGTCCCATCAGGCAATAAATCATTTGGGGGGAGCTATCACAGGTAAAGGAACCCCATTATGATTAGAAATAAAGTTTTTATTCTTTTCAGATATTTATTTATTTATTTTTAGAGAGAGGGGAAGGAAAGGAGAAAGAGAAGGAGAGAAACATCAATGTGTGATTGCCTCTCATGAGCCCGCCACGAGAAACCTGGCCTGTTCCCACGAGGCATGTTCCCTGACTGGGAATCAAACCTGCAACCTTTTGATTTGCAGGCCCACATTCAATCCACTGAGCTACACCAGCCAGGGAAGGGATAAAGTTTTTAAAAACTGTCCTTATGTTACTATAGAAGTGAAAATATTTGTTCATGAGATCGGGATGTCCCCATCTCAGCTAATCCCAACACTACCCTGGCCTGCTGGTATGTGTTTGTAACTCTCTTATCAGGAAAGAAATCTTTTTTATTCCATAAAAATTCCTGTTTTAAAGTTACATAAAACCAAAAATAAATAAAATTATATTGAACACTCTTACCATCACATGTAATGCTTGACAGTATGTTTTGAGGAAGAGAGTAAGGGTCAGGGCACTGAGACTGGGAAATCTAGATGAAAATATGAACTTGGGCTGCCCATATGTATTTGCTTTTGCCCACTCTCTTTACAAACAGATTTTATGTCTTAAAAAGACAAGAAGTTTTAAAATGT